CAACCATATTTCCCCTACATACGTTCAAAGTGCAGAATTTACACAGGATCTCTCAGCTCTGAGAAGCAGGAGGAGGGGAGCTGAAGTTACATCAGAGAGGAGAGCTGATTGGAGGGAAGGGACACACACTCCTTTCACACAGCTCACAGGAACAGAGCTGAAGCTACCAATCACAGGCTGTGCCCTCTTCTGTCACCATTTTTCTCTTGGTGTCAGAAAAACTCATCAGAAGTGACCCATGCTGACAGCAGAGGAATGAAGCAGCCGACAGAAATGACAGTTGGGGGGATATTTACTAAAGCTGAATCTCTCAGAATGTCATGCAGCTGTGCATGGTAGCCAATCAGCTTCTACCCTCAGCTGGTTCAATTAAGCTTTAGCAATAAAACCCGTAAGCTGGTTTCCATGCAGAAGAGCACAAGGTTCTGAGTGAACCAGCTTTAGTAAATAAACCCCTTAGTGCTCTGGATTTAGACAAGAACACACTATAGAGCAGCCTTTCTCAACCTTTTCAACGCAGAGGAACCCTTGACATAACTTTCCGGTCTCGGAACCCCTGCTAAAAATGACTATCTACAATTCATGATACATTAGTGTGATGGTCAGTGGTAAGAGTGCTCCTTACACTTGTGGTCATTGGGAAGAATGACCCCTTTACAGATAGCTAGACAGATCAATGGTGTCAGTGGGAACTTACCTGAGAAGCAAAAATTACTCATTGCTCAAGGGACCCCTTACAACCTCTGGAGGAACCCTTGTTGAGAAACTCTGCTATAGAGGGATATGCTTTGCTCATATTTTATGTCAGAGGTTTACAAGCACTTTAAGTAAACATTCACTTTGCTAAGTAAACAGTCTTCCCTTAGTAACTCATCCTCGTAGTTTTTAACTATTCTCCACATGACATGAAGTACCAGGAAATCTCCCCTTAATACATTTGGCAATAGAAACCTTACAGAGGCCCTAACCCTTCCTCAGCCTATCCAAAACTAAACAAAACCTTTTGTCTGGAGTTGGACTTTAAGCGTACCTGCTTCTTTACCCTGTATAGGCAAGTCATGGGTACACCTTAAGTCTAGGTTCACACCTATGCATTTTGCAGAAACACATTTAACATGATTTCCTATGGGATAGGTTCACATCTCCGCGTTTTCAACCGGTGCGTTTTTTCGAAAGGGTCAGGGACTTTTTTCAACGCAAAATGTTGCATTTTTCGTTCTATAGACATCAATGCATACGCTGCAGAAAAGCATTTAGTGCACTTTTTATACGTTTCTGATGCGTTTTAATCTGCCTAGCAACAAGAAAATAAAAACCTGCAAAAAGCGGAAAAAACACGTGCAAATACGCAAACCGCATTGCTGAAAAAGATCAAATGCAAACTGCATAGGTGTGAACCTATCCTATAGGGGATTTGTTATTCCTAAATATTTATTGTTCTTAAAGTTGAACTTCACTCTCTCAATCAACATTGGCTATTTATAATACTTATGCTGATTGTAAATTGATAGGAAATTATATCATCTTTATTTGTTTAAACATTTTTTAAATTTCTTCAGTAACTTCCTGGTTTCCAGAAGTCTAAACACACCTTCCGGCCTGCATGCCTGAGCCAAGAGCAGATGGATTCCAGGAAGTAAATGCTACATGAACAGGGGCGGACTGACAACTCATGGGGCCCCCGGGCAATAGGGGATCTTGGGGCCCCTGTGTCCTTGCCCAAACTCAAAAAAGCCTATGAAAAAGGTACCAGGGGCATCTCATGGGGCCCCCTACTGACCCCAGGCCCTCGGGCAGTGCCCGAGTTTCCAAATGGTCAGTCCGCCACTGTACATGAATCATCTGCCCTTACTCAAGATGACTACAGCTAGAAATGCTAGAGGGTGTTTTTCAAAGTAATTTCTCAGAAAATTAAACATGGAGATATAGATGGATGGGTGAGTTTGCTGTGAAGATTAAAATTCACGCCCCTCCAACCCCCCCCCCCAAAAGTCATGCTACTTGCTTGCAACTTTCTTGCAAATTTTTGTGATTTATCATTGCGGTCTATGGCTCTCAAGTTGCAGAAAAATAGTGCAGGAACCTTTATTTTTTTTCTGTCGCTGCAACTTGAGTCACATTGATTAAGACAGCACCCATTGAAATGAATGTGTTTTGACTTGTCACAAGTGGCATGATAAGACGCAGCAGGGTGAAGCGGGGCTAAATAATGTTTTTGGTTTGTGGTGCGCAGACACAGTGTAGTTCCACTTTAATTATTTATTTGCTTCACAGACTCACATTGTTCTGCTAGGAATGTATGCTGTATGATTATCCAGTACTCACGGAATATTTTTTTGGAATATTTACAGGAAACCAACATTCCAGAACAAAGTCTTGTGACGGTTGTAAAACCGGGACTGCCAACAACGGCTGATTTGTATCTCCTGCCTTCTACAAGCCAACCAAAGAGGAAGAGGAGCATTCCCAACGACAAGGTACACTGCAGAAATGGGAAATAAATCACTTCAAAAGGAAATGAAGAAATGTTTACATTTTTGTTAGTTTAAAATGGTAAATATCGACAAATATTTGTTTTTTAACCTTTTTATTATATTTCTAGTTGTTATTATATAATTATATGCAAGCTGCCACACAGTATTTGTTTTTCAGATGTATAGCGGCAGACAGAAAACTAGAAACCCTTCCGTTGCAGCAAAAATAAATCCATTCTTGACATTTACATATGTGGGAGCACAGCAAGAAAGACAAGCAACTGAAATGCTGCAAAGCTACAGTTGTGCTCAAAAGTTTGCAGAAATCATGGAATATTGGCATTGATATTGAAAATATGACTGATCATGCCAAAAAAACTGTTATTTAAACCGCTTCCCAACCACGCTATAGCAAAACTAATGCTAAAGGGCGGCAGGGCTGTGCAAAAGCACGTGTATATATATGTGATTTTGTATTTGCGGGTAGGGGGCCGTCCTACCAGTCCTACCCATTCTGCCATTGGCAGCTACAGCTGTCGATCACCAGGTCCCTGCTGGAGATTCCCCACCGGCACCCTGCTATCGCCGAGGAACATTGACAGGGTAGACAGCTATATGTAAACATAGTTACATAATTAGTCTGGCTGAAAAAAGACAAAAGTCCATCCAGTTCAACCATTAAAAAAAAAAAGTTATAATCCTATATCCACAGTTGATCCAGAGGAAGGCACAAAATATCCCAGCAAAGCATGATCCAATTTACTCCTGCAGGGAAAAGATTCCTTCCTGATCCCCGAGAGGCAATCGGATATTCCCTGGATCAACGTTACCTATAAATGTTAGTATCCAGTTATATTCTGTGTATCCAAGAAAGAATCCAGGACTTTTTTAAAGCAATCCAGTGATCTGGCCAGAACCAACTCTTGAGGGAGTCTATTCCACATTTTCACAGCTCTTACTGTGAAGAAACCTTTCCGTGTTTAGAGATTACATTTCTTTTCCTCCAGACGTAAAGAGTGCCCCCTTGTCCTCTGTGATGGCCTCAGGGTGAATAGCTGTACACTGAGTTCACTATATGAACCACTGATGTATTCATACATGTTGATCATATCCCCCTTAATCGCCTCTTCTCAAGAGAGAATAAATTCAGTTCCTCTAATCTTTCCTCATAGCTGAGCTCCTCCATGCCTCTTATCAGTTTGGTTGCCCTTCTAAAATGTGTGCGCGCCACCCAACCCGCGCCGCTATTGGTGGCTACAGCTGTCAATCACTGGGTCCTGGATGGAGATTCCCCGCTGGTACCCAGCAATCACCGAAGAACACTGACAGAGGAGAGGTCTGTATGTAAGCAATACAGATTTCTCCCCTGTCAGCACCAGCATGCTGCTTTCTATTGCTCTGCAGAGAAGAGCAATACAAAGTAGTGTGCTTACAAAATAAATCACACACAGGCCACACAGAAAAACAGCACACAGTTAACCCTTTGATCGCCCCACATGTTAACTCTTCCTGCTCAGTGTCATTAGTACAGTGTCAGTCCTTTTTATTAGTACTGAACACTGTATTAGTGTCACTGGGGATGACAGTGGCAATTAGTCAGTTCCCCCCCAGTGTCAGAATGCCCACCGCAGTCCCACTATAAGTTGCTGATCACCACCATTACTAGTACAAACAAGAAAATTCCAGTATATATACCGCCATTTGTAAACACTATAACGTTCACGTAATCCAATTAATTTACACGTATTGGGATTTTGTTTTAGCAAAGACGTCGCAGAATACATTTTCGCCTAAATTTATGATGAAATTTTATTTTTTAAACTTTTTTACTGGACATATTTAATAGCAAAAAGTCAAAAATATTGTTTTTTTTTTTTTCAAAATTGTCGGTCTTTTTTTTGTTTATAGCACCAATAATAAAAACTGCAGAGGTGATTAAATACTACCGAAAGAAAGCTCCATTTGTAAGAAAAAAAGGACATACATTTACTTTGGATGCAGCTTTGCATGACCGTGCAATTGTCAGTTAAAGTAACACAGCGCTGTAATGCAAAAAATGGCCTGGCCAGGAAGGGAAGTAAATCCTCTGGAGGGCAAGGGGTTAAGGATAGTGATCATATGGAGCCATTTATTATCACATCATTATTCTGCTCCTTTTAAACCATGATGATAACAGACATCACCCGAAATGGCCCTGATCAAAAGTTTACATACCCTGGAATGTACAGACACACACAGGTTAAAATGGCAATTAAAGGTTAAATTCCCATATCTGTGGCTTTTTAACCGCTAGCCTACAGGGCACTTCTACCCCCCCCCCCCCCCCCCCCCCCCCCCCAGGCCAATTTCCAGCTTTCAGCGCTGTCACACTTTGAATGACAATTAAATAAATTTTTATCACTTTTTTGTGACAGATAGAGCTTTCTTTTAGTGGTATTTAATCACATCTGGGTTTTTTATTTTTTCTTAAACAAACCAAAAACCACTGAAAATTTTGAAAAAAAAAATGTTTTTTCTTAGTTTTTGTGATACAATTTTGTAAATAAGTGATTTTTCTCCTTCACTGATGTGCGTTAATGAGGCTTCACTGATGGGCACTGATAGGCTGCACTGATGGACACTGATAGGTGGCACTGATGGGCACTGATGAGGAGGCACTGGTAGGTGGCACTGATGGGCATTGACAGGCATCACTGGTGGGCACTGAAAGGCAGCACTGATACATGGCACTGATAGGCAGCACTGACTGGCACTAATAGGCGGCACTGACTGGCACTGATAGGCGGCACTGACTGGCACTGTTAGGTGACACTGACTGGCACTGTTAGGCGGCACTGACAGGCATTGATAGGCGGCACTGATGCGCACTGATAGGCGGCACTGACTGGCACTGATAGGTGGCACTGATTGGCAGCACTGATAGGTGCCACTGATTGGCATTGATAGGTGGCACTGACTGACACTGATGGGTGACACTGAAAGGCAGCTCAGATGGGCACTGCTATGTGGCATTGATGTGCACTGGTAGGCACTGATGTGGCACTGATGAGCACTGACATAAGGCATTGATGGACACTGACAGGTGGAACTGTTGGGGCTACACTGATCATCAGGGCACACTGATCATCAGTGCCCTGATGATCAGTGTACATGTCCCCTCCAAGGAATGCCGATTACCGGCTCTCCTCTCCTCTGTCAGCGTGACGGCTCGAGAGGAGAGAAAATGCCGATAACCGGCATTTCCCTGTTTATATGTGATCAGCTGTGATTGGACACAGCTGATCACATGACCGAGCCGACATCTTCGGCTTTTTCCGTGATCAGTGATCCGCTGTGTCCGAGGGACACAGCACACCGCCAATTGCCGCGCTGCGTGCTCCCTGAGCCGCACATGTGCAATGAGAATGGGAGGGTGTCATATGACGTCCTCCCAGAACGAGAGAACCCCCTTGCGCCCGTCATATTACTATATGGCGGGCGGGAGGTGGTTAAATTGCAATTAGTGTCTATGTATAAATAGTCAGTGAGTTTGTTAGCTCTCCCGTGGATGCACTGTGCAGGGTAGATACCATGGGGATCAGAGAAGAACTGTCAAAAGACCTGCGTAACAAGACAATGGAACTTTTGAAAGATGGAAAAGGCTATGAAAAGATCTCAAAAGCCTTGAATAAAAGTGGTAAATTCGGGGATCTCTTGATACCAAGCCAAGGTCAGGTAGACTAAGAAAGATTGCAGCCACAACTGTCAGAAGACTTGTTCGGGATACAAAGAAAAACCCACAGGTAACCTCAGGAGATATACAGGCTGCTCTGGAAAAAAGACAGTGTGGTTATTTCAAGGAGCACAACACGACAATACTTGAACAAAAATGAGCTGAATGGCTGAGTTGCCAGAAAGAAGCCTTTACTGCTTCAATGCCACACAAAAGCCCTGTGAGGCTCGGCAAGGTCTTGTCGGGGATATTATAACCGGGCTTTTTAGTGGCATTGGTGCAGTAAAGACTTCTTTCTGGAATCTCAACCATGCACTTTTGATCATGGCTATTTGGGTGATTGTTATCATTATGATTTAAAAAGGAGCCAAACAAATATGTGATAATAAATGGCTTCATATGATCACTATCCTTATCCTGCAATGCTCCCATATGGCCATTTATGTACATGGGCCGGACAGGAACAGTGCAGGAGTGGGTTGCCGTTCATAATCTTCTGGGAGTGCGCAGCACCGCGATCCGATCGCTGTACGGGACCTCTGTGTGAGTTCCCGTTCATGTGATCACTGATTGGCCAATCAGTGATCACATGAATAGTAGTAAGCAAGGTGTCACTTCTGACATCATTGCTTACTACTTGTGAAATCTGTGAATGATCACAGAGGTCACATGGTGCAAGGCTATTCACATATGTAACATGTGACAAGCTGTGACCAATCACATCTCTCACAGTATTTCTCAATGGCTGCAAGAATGCAGTCAGAGAGAAGGAGAAATGATTGCTTTTACAACTTTTATGGGTGCAAAAGCAATCAGTGTAAAAAAAAAAAAATACATCTTCATCACCCCCACAAGTAGGTGTCAGTATGTTTAAACACACACACAAAAAAAAAAACCCATAAATAATATTATTTAAAAAAAAATTTTTTTTTTTTTTTAATTATATATTTTGGTTATAAACTAATTTGGGTTATTTCTTTTTACTATAAAGATAGCTGAATACATTGTGGCCAAGATTTATGAAGAAAGATTATTTATTTGCTAAATTTTATAAGAAAAACAGTTTTTTTCAAAATTTTTGGACTTTTTCATTTACATAGCAAAAAATCCCAGTGGTGAATAAATACCATCAAAATAAACTTTTATCTGTCTCAAAAAAAATACTAAACAATTCATATGGGTAGAGTGTTGCATGACCGCTCAATTGTCATTCAAAGTGTGGTAGAGCTGAAAATTGGCCTGGACAGGAAGGGGGTAAAAGTGTCCAGACTTGAAGTGGTTAAATAAACAGCATGATCAGTCATATTCAAAACATAAATGCCAAAATTTCACGATTTCTGCAAACTTTTGAGCACAACTGTATGCACTTGTTTTAAAATGACACTAAATTAAATTCTTATTCATCAAAATAAATCCATACACATCCGCTGCTTAATGGCCCTGTAATCCTTATTATTCATTAAATAATTTCTTGCTGTGCTTTTCTGCTTCCTTGTTATGTCCTCCATGAGCTCCTGAACCTCCCCTTTTCCGCCTCACTTCTGTTTTTTTTTTTTTTGAATGAGCAGTGAACCTTACTTGTGGTCATGTGCAGTGCTCTGTGCATGATACAAACCCCACAGACCATAGTCCATCTCAAAGAGTGAACAAGAGAGATGGTCTACAAGTATACACACAATGGGATCATGAAGAACAAATGTAGCCACCCTCAAACAGGAAGTCTGTAGGCAGGTTCTGCAATTTTGTACTGCATGGGTTAGTGTTTAGTTACTACGGGGTTAATTGTGGATGGTGGTGTGTCAGCATAGGTTAGGTCACTTTCCATGGTGGGGTATATAGGGAGGAGGAAGTGGTTCCTCCATGGGAGGTAGAAGGAAGGCCACATATGCAACAATTTAGTTACTGTCAAAGTGGAGAGGGAGACTTGTAGCCATTCTTTTGGGAAGTGACAAACTAGAGGTACACGCAGCACTGCCACAGTTCATCTAATGTTCTTAAGCATGTTCAACTTAGACATCTGCAGTTGTTTCGTGTGGAATCAAAATTCATTATTTGGATTTTTCAGAATTTCTGAATTACAATAGTAATGAATTTAAACAAATCCAAAATAATGAAAAAAAATTTTGTCCGTGATAAAGAATTATCCAAAATCAAATTTGAAAACAAATTCGAAGTGTAAATATATTGCTTTAGATCAACTACTTGCGCTTAAGCTCATAAGAGAAAATGATCATAAAACAAAGAAACCAAATGTTAAGCAGCTAGTACATTAGGCACGCTAAACCCATAACAAACATATATAACGTGGAGTGCAGCGCTAATAAATCAGCAAAAATATCCCCACCATAAATATATGGAAAGCAGAAAACCAGCAAACATGGACAAATATATTTAAAAAGTCCATATACAGGCTATTGAGTTCATAGGAAGTTGTGATCATGAGAAAAAAATAGCAGATAGTGGTATCTTGCGCCGTCACCCGATGACGTCTGTTGATGACCAAACGCGCAGGGTGGAGTCACTGCATTTGATGTCATCGCGTACCGGCATGGACCGCCACCATCTTATGTTTGAAACTTTGATTGAAATTCATGACATGTTGGATTTTACTTTGCTTGTTAGTTGTGGTCTATCAATCTTGGATCTGAAGGAGGGTGTACTCATGGTGAACTGATTGTCAGCTCTTGCTCAAGATTTAAAGTTGTGCTATTTGACCATTTTTGTGGTCAAATATATTGCTGTCTATTGCTGATTTCCTTCAAAGACTGGGTGTATTCCTGATAGAATATATCCATCTTCAGAAATTCAAATTTCAAAAAGAATAGAATTGCATAAAACAGAATAGAATAGAAAATGAAGGAAAAGAAATAGAAAATGAAAGAATAGAATATAGCCATTTCCAAATATTGAATTGTGAAAGAAGAATAGAATAAAACAGAATAGAAAAGAATAGAATAGCGTAAAACATATCAGAATAACAGAGAAACATAACAGAGAATAGAATAGAAAATAAAGGAACAGAATAGAAAAAATAGAATAGAAAATATAATAGTAGAATAGAAAAAATAGAGTAGAATGGAAAGTATATAGGCATCTGCCGATATTCAAAATTCAAATTTTCAATAGAATAGAACAAGCTATTATTCACAATGAATTTGGATCGATTCAATGTTTTCAATTCAAATTTGTATCAAATACTTTGAGTCCACTGGAGAAATTCTAATTCTGTTGAAGACAAAAAAACGAAACGAAATGAAATGAAAACAATTTAATTGCAAATGCCACAAAATTAAATTAGTAGCTTTACAAAAAATTCCAAAACGACACACATTTTTGTGTTCTGCACGTCTAGTTCTATTGTTTATTGAAAGAGAAGCCAAGTTATTTATTTATTTCAGGTACGTATATAGTGCTGTCAATTTACACAGTGCTTTACATATATATTGGACATTCACATCAGTCCCTAACCATCAAGGGGCATACAATCTAAGGTCCCTAACTCACATTCATACACTAGGGCCAATTTAGACGGTAGCCAATTCACCTACCAGCATGTCTTTGGAGTGTGGGAGAAAAACTGGAGTACCTGGAGGAAACCCACGCAAGTACAGGGAGAACATGCATACTACATGCAGGAGGTGCTATGGTCAGGAATTGAACCCATGACCCATTTCCTGCAAGGCAGACATGCTAACCACTAAGCCGCTGTGCCACCCAAGTTGACAACCAATCTACTGTTGGAAGTATAATATGTATATATTTGTCATCTAAGACTAACCCCGTAGACCTCAGTAAACGAATTCCATTATTCAGCTGGTCTGGTCCTTTATTGAAAACACTACGTACAGTATATATTCCTGCAGTGATTTCTAATGGAGAACGAATTGTAATGTGATGATGTTATTGCAGTGAGTGTGATAGAACATATCTGTAAAAAAAGGAGCAGGAGCAGCCAGTTTGGAAGGACGAGTGGTGTTAGTGGGTAACAGAGGCTCCCATCGGAAAGGGTGGATTGATGATTATTTGATTTTCCCTTTTCATCAGTGCGAATCCTATCTTAGGCCCCTCTGTGGAGCAGAGATTCCCAGGGACCTGGGCCATAAGTATTGTAAAAGGCCTTGCAAGGTATTCAGTGGTTTTCCTTAAAGTCTTCAGGCTGATAGTAAAGTGAATAGAACTGGTGGAGGATAACAGGTGTTCTGCAATGTTCCCTCAAAATGACTCCATGCTGTGGCTTCCATTGACTTCAATTGCTTCATATTGACTTCAGTGCAAAATCGTGTCTCATTGACTTCAATGCAAAAACGCCTGATGAAGCCTGAGGAGGTGGTCTCCTCAGTGGCCATAAGAGACCTTACTTCACTCTTCCACTAAACAAATATAAATTACTAGTGATGCACCAATATATCATCCGCTGAAA